GGGGAGACTGAAGCACAATCTTCACTGCCGTGCATTGTGCGAGCCAGGCCAGTGCTGGGGCCAGGCGGGGCCCTCGGACCTCTCTCCCCAGGGCCAGGCGCAGGGAAAGGCAAAACGCTGAGCACTTGTCAGTCCTTTTTTCTGTTTTCCTACATCTCTCTTGGGAACAAGGCCGGTCACTTGTCACCAGCATTTCATTTTTAGAAAAAGAACAAGAGACCTCGGAGGGCAAGGAGGGAGGGGCTACAGGCTTCCTTGCCCAGTGCCTCCAAGGTGACTGGGTGGCCCCCAGGTGGCTTTCACCCACACTTTGAGACTTCTCTCTCACTGCTTCCCTAATTCCAAAGTGGCCTGTGATTCACGTTTTCTTTTTTAATCTGAAGCCCACCGCCCCCCTCTTTCTGTTATCTTCTTAGCCTGATTAGAAAACAAAAGAGAAATGCTTTTCCATGTTCCTGTTGTTATCTTGATGGTATTTACACGAGGATGGCGTTGCCAGTTTAGGAAGCCGAAGCAAAGCCCCTGTCCACTTCCTCCCAACCTTGCCGGCAGGGGAGAGCATATTTACCCTCCCTTCCGTCTCAGGGACGTCAGCACTAGACTCAAACGATCTGGGGTCTTTCTCGGCTGCTCCCTGTGCATGCCTGGACTGGAAGCCGGCCTCCCTCGACTTTTCTGAGTAGATGAGTTTCCCCTCCCCCACTAGGGCCGGGAGGCCACGCTTTTGCTGGCAGGCACTCAGGCCATGTCTCCTCGAAGAGCAGCTCAGCTGAACTGGGGCTCACGTGCCCCGGGGCCAGCTCCACAGCTAGCCCCAGCCAGGCTGGCCCCGCGATGGGACCAATTCCACGGCAGCTGCTGAGGCCAACAGCACAGCTGGAAGCGGGCAGGGACCCTCCCCTGGGACCTCCAGACAGCCCTCACCCCGGAGGTCGTTCCTTTCTGGTCAGAGCTACTCTCCGTGTAGTCTTCAGATTTCAGCAGGAAACCCCCCGCCCCGCGCCCCCGCCCACACAGCAGAAAGCAGAGCGGCTCGTACCTGCACCCTCAGCTGTGAACCTGAGCAGCAGCGAGAGAGGAACTAAAAGTGAGGAGCTGGGCGGCAGCTGGGCTGCAGGAACCCGTGTCCATTCACTCTATGAACATCCCTGAGCACCTACCATGTCCCAGGCCCTGGTTTCAGGCACTGCGCACTCAGCAACAAGCAAAAGAAACAAAATTCCTTGCCTACATGAAGCTCACATTTCAGGGCAGTCATTCAACAAACAAGATCGAAATGTCAGAAAGTGACAGGCACTAGGAGGGAAGGGGGGGAGGGCAGAAAGTGTGGGGGAGAGGGTGGCTGTGGCAGAGTTCAATTTTAGGCCGAGTGAACAAAGAAGAAAGAGAGGGAGGGAAGGAGTCCTGCCAAGGGGGAGTGTTCCAGGCTGCAGAAGTGCAAAGGCCCTGAGGCAGGCTCGAGCTTGACATGTTGAACAAGGAGGTCAATGTGGCTTGAGCAGAGTGAAGGGGGCGGGGGAAAGCAGAGACAGAGCAGCATGGTCAGAGAAAGCCAGAGTACATGGGCTCTGGGCCTCCTGGTAAGGGCTCTGACGTCTGCTCGGCCGGAGATGGGAAGCCAGCAGAAGGCCAGAGCTGAGGAGAGATGCATCCGCCTTGTAGTCCCTCTGGTGGCTGGTAGAGAACAGCTAAGGAGCCAGAAGCAGGAGACCAGTTACAACACATTCCCAGACAAGAGAGGACAGCAGGCGGGACCTGAGCAGCAACCGTGGGGACGGCGAGAGGGAATCTATTTACAGACACATATTCAGTGCAAACTGGAAAGACAGCCGTGATGGGCAGAGACCTGACCCACCTTTGCTCGTGGAATTCTGCCAGCCCAGTGCCCGGCACACACACGGTGGTACATAAAGGCCTCAGGTCTCGATGGCTTTCCCACACTCCTACAAGGGTTGGAGACCCAGCCGGGCCTGTCTGCTCTTGGCCTGATGGTTGGTGTGAGCTTGGGGAGGGAGCCCACAAGGGTGCTAGGGTGGGCACTCAAGAGGGGCTGCAAAGGGCACCAGGAGGGGTGCCGGGCAACGTGGGAAGTCCTGCAGACTTATCAATCTGCAAAACTCCTCCTCAGGTTTATTTCTGTCAGAGTGGGACCTCCTCCCGCCCCCTCTGCAGGGGAGCAGCCCCACTCACTTCTGAGGAATCAGGGCTGGAAGGAGGGAGGTTAAGAGACTCCCCTGTTCTCAGTCTGAGAAGGCCGAGCTGTCTGCCTCTCTGGCCCAGCCCATCAGGCCACTTGGTCACAGGATAACTTTGGGGAGAAGGCGGGAAGGGCAGCTGTCACAACGGCCCACCACCTTGGCCGCCAGACCACACCTTCTTTCTCCACGTCTCCCACCCCTGACATTCTTGAGGCAGCAGCTCTCCCTCCGCACCGCCCTTTGGAAGTGCGGCCTGACCTTGGCCCCCACTCGGGCACCACCTCCCTTCGGGAAACCACCTCCCCTTACTGGGTGGAGACCAGAAGGAATGCCAGTCTCAGCCTGGCAGGGGCGGCAGAACCCCGCTTGGTATTATTTACCAGGGTGCTGGCCTTCCTTCCAGCTGCTTCTTGCAAGCACTTAGCCAGGCTCTGGGTTACTTCACCCCACTGCCCCAGCCTGCAACATCTCCCAGAGCTCTGCCCTGGGCACTCTGGACTTAGTCTGCTAAGCCTGCATGTTCAGTCCACAGCCCCACCTGGACATCAGGCCTCAGAAAAGGTCATCAGAGAAATGAGGCCCAGGAGGTCCTTACCAGCTCAGGGTTGAAGGTCCTGCATGCTCTGGAGTCAGCTCCCTGTTTGTCGAGGCTTTTACTTAGGATCATCACCATGGTAAGGACCTCAGGCGCTGGGCTCCATCCCAGGGTGGGCACGAGCCATCTTCAGCTGGGCAGACTTGGGCAGAGGTGACCTCCTGGGCACCTCCCAGGTGACTGGCATCAGCAGGAACAGTTCCCAATCAGCTGCTCACGCTTGGGGAAGGGCTCCTCCAGGAAATGGCCAAGTGCACTCAACTTCCTGGAAAGACAACAGAAAGGCAAGGGATTCAGGACTTGGGAAGACCGGGGCTCTGAGGGAACTGCCCGCGCACCCTCCTGCTGGGGCCCTGCTCAGAAACAGAACTGCCTCCCCACTGAAGGAGATGCATCATGGCTGCAGAGGCCAGGACCCCTTTCTCAGAGGCCCCCGTGCCAGCCTTGAGGCACGCCTAAAGCCAACGCACTAGCGGGTACAGCAATGGGTCTCCACTCAGCCACGTGGCACCTTTAAGACCTATCCCAGGGTCTGGGTTGGTCACAATCTGCTGTCCCCAGAGTGTACTCAAGTCACGTGGCATCTAATACCCAGCTGGCCCTACAGACCGCTTCGGTACATGCCCAAGGCTGAGGGTCAGACACGTACCAACCCCACAGTCAAAACTGAAGGGACCAGCCCTCAGGCAGCCTCAGGCAGCAAGGTGGCTACTGTCCTCCACCGCGTTACGAACAGAAGCTACTGGAAGAATCGGGCGGGTCCATTTAAAGGCACATATTTCCCACCCTTGGAAGCGCCACTTTCAACAATGTCACATTTGCAACACTGGGGGCCTCTGTAGCTTTGTCCCCTTCCCCAGACTGGGCCAAACCAAGTCACAGCCTTCGCAGGGCCTGCCCACACCACCCAGAGCCGCCAGCAGTGACAGGAGCCCTCATGGCGCCATTCTGAACAGCCCACCAGCACCTCCTCCCGCGTCACCCCCCAAGCAAACGCTGAAAGAACAAGGTCTTAGCTCAGGTTTGAGAACTCACTCCTTACACATTAATTCCTCCCGTCCCTACTTCCCCATCCCACCCCTCGGTGGTCACACCTTCAAGGAAAATCACACGCACGCAAGGAACCTGAAGAGCACCGTCACAAAGTGAAAAATAATGACAATAATAGCAGAAAAGGGCAGCTCCTAATCTATAATTAAAAACAAACTGCTCAGTGCAAGAAAATGCTTTAGAATCTGCTGCTCTGTGTAAAAATTAATTGCACCCTGGTATTTACTTGCTGCCCAGACTGTAAATCATATTTTCCTGTTTACTTCGATTAGACTTTACAGTGGGTGTTATTGGAATTGCTCAATTACGGGCCAGCTGGCAAGCACAGGAAAATTACCTTCTACTGTTCTTCGAAAACAAGGTTCATCCAAAGTGCAAGAGTGGGGAAGGGGAGGGGGAAAATCAATACATTTTCAAAGGACTGGCTGTGCAGGAAGGGACCTGGTGGCGTGTAGGTTCCCAGGTCACACCAGAGTTTCAACACCACCTCAGTCTAGAAGCAACACATTCTGACCAAGAGTGAGCTGCTCAAGGAAAGAATGTCAGACCACTCCTCCCAGCTCAGGCCAGAAAGCTGAGCCAGAAATGCCCGCCAGCCCCCTGGACGCTTGGCTAGGGAGCGGGGCTGGGGGGTGCTACGGACTCTCCCTTCAAAGGGACCCTTTGTGCCGCCTCGGTGGTGGAGGCGGGGCCTACTGGCGGCCATCTTCTTTCTGGGTGCAACCTCATTGGGTTCTGGAGCAGCCGGCCATTCGCCCAAGGCCCAGGGGTGACCTGCCTTTACCACCCCCACCCCCCATTTCTTTCTTCCCTAACAAGGCAGGCCAGCTTAGTGGTTACAAGCTCAGGTCCTGAGTCAAGCGCACCTGGGTTGGGATCCCAGCTCTTGAAATGCATTGTCTTGAGGGACCTTTACCAAGTTACTTACTCTCTCTCCATAACGTAGGGACAACAGTGCCTGCCTCAGAAGATTCCGTATCATCTGCAAACAGAGCTCAAGCCCTTTGCTCCGTGAGAAGCCCTAGCTCATTTGAGGAAGCACTCACTAAACAGTAGCTACCGTCCCTATTTTCATCAGGGAGACAGGAGGTCCTGATTCGTTCTCAGCAGTGGACACCCAAGCATCTAACTGTCCTCTCGGGTCTTTTTTAAAGAGAAATTCCATCAAATTTTTTAAAGCTAAATTCCACCAGGATGGAACTGGGCATATTATGGCCCATCCCTCTGGTGAAACAGTAGGTGGCCAGTAAGAATGATGCTGTGGGAGTCCATTGCCATAGAAACGCGTTAGGCCATCGGGATGCAGCCAACAGGCACCGCAAACACAAAGCCAGACGGAGGCAGCAGTGTGGGCGGCCCTGCTCTTCTAGCTCCGCCCCCACTGGAGCCCCTACAAGAGACCAGGACTCGCATCGGCAGCGCGAGGGGTGAATACCAGAGCACCATAAGCTCCTGGAAACAGGTGGTCAGCAAACACGGCAGGTGCCAAATGGAGAAAGGAGGTCTAGCACAATCCCTGTCCTCGGGGGTCATGGGGAGTTCCATGAATGCAGGCACAAATCCAACTAAGGCAGGCAGGAGTAGGGGGCACCAGAGCGGAGCTGTAAAGAGACCCCTCTGCATAGTGGCTGGCAACACTCCTAGAGTAGTCCAGGAGTAGGGACAACCAAGACGCCATCAACAGGGGGCTGTTTCCACAAAGCACAGTGGAACCATGTAAAGGGATACCACGTCGCTTTAGGCCCAACTGTAACGAGGCAACTCTGACCGTACGGATGTGAAACCCTCTCCAAGACACACTGTGAAATGAATACAGCAAGAGGAGTACAGCACGATCCCAAAAGCATGGCTGCCTTATGGAAGGCACCGTAGTTCTGGAGTGGAAGACACTTTGATCATATAGCTTTGCGTGCTGCTTGAATACCTCATCCAGTACATATGATACCTTTTTGGTTAAAAAGAAAATAGGCAAGATTTCAACTTGAAGGAAAGGCACACAAGCAGAGGGAAGGCTGTGAGCAAAGCGTGGGGCCCTGCCCTGTACATGGTGCATGGGACTCGGTGAGCACCCTGGTGGCAGGAGCAGAGGGTATGTGGAGAGGTGGCAGCGTGGGGACAAGGAGCTGGGAAGACAGAGTCAAACCAGCCTGACAGATCAGAATGCCAACTGAATGCAGACTTTATCATGTGGCCATAGGCGGCTCCCCGAGGGGCTGGGCTACTGCGATCTGTCGGAAAAGTGATTTTAGGGGGGACCTTTGTAATACTTAGCACAGAACCCTGAATACAGTATGAGTTCAACATACATTTTGGAATGAAGCTAAATCGTAGCAACAACTGAAATGATCCAGGCACATTCTCAGACCTTGTGAGGCAAATCCAGACCAGCAGAGCCTGGCACAATCTGGAATTCCCTGGGATTCCTTTGATCCGTGGCATGGGCCTCGCCAAGTTCACTAAGGAATGCCGATGCCCGTCCAGAGACTTAGAGCCGAGTCTGAGAATAGGGCCAGGGACTGCTCAGGGAAAAGCTGGGGGTGAAGCTGGGTGGGGGGTAGTCTCCACCTGTGAAGGAACAACTGGGAGCATGGCTCTGCCCAAGGTAGAAGGAGGTGTCCCAGAGCCACAGCTAGCGTGATGAAGGTCTCCTGGAGGCCACCTCTGGGGCACAGACCCCGCTCTGGTCTGGTGGGTTTTCTCTTAACTCATATGAAGAACAGCTTCTATCTACTGAGAACCTACTGTGCACCAAGTACTTTACACACATCAGCTATACAACAGGTTCATTTAACCCCATTTTACAGATGGATAAAGCAACTCACCAAGGGTATAAGGGCTGATCTTGCATCTGAACCCAAGTGGACCAGCTCCCGGGTTACATGCTTCCCACTGACGTCCACCTACAGCACGGCCCCCACCCCTCACCAGCCCCTCCATCCTAAGTGCATCTTTCAAAAGCCCACTCAAGCCACTACCATATGACCCGGCGAGGGGTCTCCTTGGCATTCATCCCAGAGAAATGCAAACTTATGTCCACACAATAACCTGCACATGGATGTTCACGGCAGCTTTGCTCACGACAGCCAAAACTAAGAAACAACCCGGATATCCTTCCAGGGGTGAACTGTTACACAAACTTTGGTACAGGTGCACCACGGAATACTACTCGGTGTTAAACAGAAATGGACTACTGACACCTACTTGGATAACCCTCCAGAGAATTATGCGGAGGGAAACAACCCAATCCCCACACATTAATTATGGCATGACTCCGTTCACAGGACATGCCTGAAATGATAAGGCGAAAGAAATGAAGACTCGAGGAGGGGGACCCGGGGCCAGAGATGAGGATTTGGGCTGGGGGTGTGGGAGCGGGAGGCGGGTGGGAGTGGTGATGAAAAGGCAGCAGGAGGGACCCTCGCAGTGATGGGGATGGCTGGTACCTCGACTGTGTCTGCCTCCATTTCCTGCTTGTGATGCCCAACTATAGTTTTGCCAGATGTCACTATCGGGGGAAACTGAGTAAATGGTACACAGAACCTCTACTATTTATTACAACTACATGTGAATTTACAATGCTCTCAAAATTTAAAAAGCCCACTCAATCTATGCATTTATGAAAACTCATAGGAGTAACTATCAAAAGAATGAATTATACTGTAGGTTAAAAAAAAAAAAAAAAAAGCCACAGCCCACATGGCTGCCAGTGCCTGTACCAAGGAGACCACGTGCGAGGCGGGGCGAGGACACGCACTGTGGGGTCTGGCGGCCATGCCTCCACCTTGACCATGTCACCCGACTTCACAGTTTCCCAATCTTTCAAATGAAAGCAGGAACACCTTTGCTCTGGGGGCTGATGGGAGATAAAAAAAACACGTATGAAAGCGTAGGGCACAGAGAAGGCCCCAGACCTCAGCTCCCGGCCCCCTCTGCACAAGTAGCCACTGTCTGTCTCTCAACATCTTCCCGGCGCATCTCTGCAGATTCCCTGCCTCTGTCTACACCTTGTACTGTCATTTCCCTGTGCCCATATTTACACGGCAAATTAGACTCCCTGCACAGTGCTTACGGCAGACGGAGGGCCTCGCGCCCCGCCTCTACACACATCTGGGGTGCCACTGTCCACAGGAGGAGGGATCTCCCCCTGGCACGGGCCCTGTCTTTATTCTGGGGCATGTCTACTCTCCAGCTCTGACCCCGGGAGCCTCCGCTCAG